CATGTATTTTGTGTGGCATTAAATTTGGAGGGTTTTGGCCATTTTCACCACAAATCTCACTCATGTGGCGGCAAGTTGCACGCGGCATTCGCCTGCAGTCGTTCTGTGGACCGACCAAGGAGACGACAGTTCGACTGCATAGCAAGGTCCTATCGAATAATGCAGGCAGAGTACGCCATGGAGCCATTAGAACGTTCTCTGGAAGCAGCGCAAAGGATCCACCCACTACGTTCCAACGAGCAATCGAGGACAAAGCTCGATACGTCGAGTGGGACGAATCCGGTGTGTTTTCCCCCGACATGTTTGCCGTGAAGAAGATGGCGTTATTTGCGATGATCCACCAAGCGTTCCCGAACAAATGCGACTTCGACCTGCCCGAGTTTCTGGATGGCGCGAAACACGCCCTCGAGTTGGTGTTGCGCACAGTGTACTCTCCTGCATTCCTTGAAGCCGCGGTGGATTCCACGATTGAGAACGACGAGATTCGTCTGCTGAAGGACGTCATGTCCCCTGAATGCCTCAACATGCTCAAGCAGGGATTCAAGATCCATCACGACAACGGGTGCACCAAGTTCGACCTGACCCAGCTCGACATCCGGGGGTGCTTTCTCAACAACATTAAGCTTGCCGACGACAACTCGTCCATATTGCTGTACGTCAAATTCGACACAGCGGAGCACGTGACTGTGTCTGGCATCAAGGACGGCGTCGCGATTTCCGAGTCGTCCGTCCGCGAGGCCGACGCAACGTGGGTGTTCGAGTCGCCGATTCCGTCCACCTTGCGGTGGACCGTCGTCCAGATGTGATTGCGTCCACGTTAACCAGTATAACGACGTGTAGAGTCGGTCGAAGCGTTGACCCGACCTGTCGACTGCCGACCGTCTGGTCACGGTCGCCGCCTGTGCGCCGGCGTTGGAGTAAATGACCTCCCTTGTCGTATCTGCGGCAGATGAAGAACCATGTCGTCGAGATTATGAGGAGGACGGGTTTGACGGCCAAATGGCCAGGCATGTCACAGGGTGGACGACGACTCTCGCAGCGAATTCGAGTCTTTGGTTGGCAAGACGTTGCATTCGGCAGGATATTCGATGTTGTTTAGCGACCACGTCCCGTGAGCGGCAGCTTGGCTGAATGAGTCATGAGTGCTTCACCTGGAGGGCCATGCCGTCCTGTTAACTTAGATATCTACAACTTCTACTTGGAGCTGTTTTTGGGTCATTGGCCGCTCTGGGTCGGACAAAGGGATCGCGGGTGGCACGGACGTGGCGTCTGGAGGTGCGAGCTTCTCCAGGGTGAATACGAGAAGGCGAATCTCTGCGGACAGCGACGGGTACGCGTTGCTGTGATCTTGGCCGAACTCGACGACAAACTTGAGCAGTTTGTCTCGATTGAGCAGGAGCAACGACTGAATGTCGGCATGTTTCGACGGGTTCGCGACGAATATTTTGAACACGTGGAACGCGTCGAGGCGGAGGGCGTCGCTCTTTTCCCGCAGCAACTGCATCACTACCTTCAAATGGTGCTTGTCCGAGATGTACCGCATCATGGCAGAGCCATTTCGCGGGTCCAAGAGCACCTTGGACAAAATTTGAAGCGCATGGCGTTGGGTCGCGTAGTTGGACGATGTCAGGAGGCGCTGGTAGGATGCAAAAAGACGGTCGCATTCCGCGTCCAGCTCGGGGGTGTGATGGGTCAGCAGGCAGCTGATATTGGTCAGCGCATCAGACGAAATGTCGAAGTGGGCGTGGGTGCATGCGACGTTGACGAGGGTGTCGAATTCGGATGGCATCTTGGACAGGAACAGCGAGATCGCGTCGTCGAACGTATCGAGGCAGTCGCGAAGCATCGAGCCACACACAAGAACGACTTCGGTCGCGGAACATGCATATCCCTGACAGAGCCGACCGAGGAACGACACTTGACACACAATCGGTCGGATCGCGGCCGGGTGATGGTGCACCATCGTTTTCACGATCGCACCGACGGATTTCTGTGCTTCAAACGAGATTTGCACGAGGAGATCGGGGTGCACGAGGCGTTCCATGACGTGGTATCGAAGCAGCATATCCACGACTTGCGCACACTCGTCCGTTTGAATCGGGACGTCCGGCGTGCCGCATACGAGCCGACGGATCTTGGTGAGCAGGCGTTCGACGCGACCCGTCGCATCCACGTCGAGGACATCGACTTCACTAGGTGTCGCTGCGTTCGAGGGCGGTTCGTCAAGCGACGTTGGAGACTCTGGTGGCGTCGATCCGTTCGTGGTCGCGTCTGGCTCATCGTCGAGGTCATCCTTTTCGTCCGGCAATGCCGGCGCCACTTCATGCAGCAGATGATGCAAGGACTTAGTCAAGCGAGACACATCCTTCTTCCAGAAGAACAGACTCATAGCGGCGCGCTACCACTTGCAAGGAACAACGGATGATGGGTGCTTGGGTCGCCACGACGCCCGGGCGGCAATCGTTACGCTGTCTGGCGTGGTTGAAGCAATGGCTCAACCCCGACCCCTATGAAACTACGCGATTTGATTGGTCAATCGCATTCTGCGACCGCTGGCCTCAAGTCCCACTCAATTAAATTACACGCCAGTAAGATGGGCACATGGCCAATAAAATACTTGCACCGCGAAATTCCATGTAGAATTAAATAATACTCCATCGTAACAACGTTTTGGCCAACTCCATGGTATCGCCCCGCGATATTCAGAGAATGCCCAGCTAAAAATCGTCGTCAAAACTTATTTTCCCTGCACCTGTCCAAGAAGAAAACACTGCACACAACGCGGCATCATGGACGCGCGACGGCTGGAGCCCACACGAGGCATCGATGGTTCCAGATCGTTTGGCGTGCTCACATGGGTGCATCGATTTCGACGTCGTTGCCGGACCCCTGCAAACAGTAAAGTCACCACGGCATCAGCGTCTTGCCCAACGACAGAGGTCGGGTGTACCGCGGCAATCAAGCATATCACGGGTTGTCACAACCACGTGGCTGGTTGGATGACGCGATCTGACAGTGGCAGTGACGCCCCCAGCGTCATTCGTCTACACAACACCACAAGAAATATTTTTTGCTGATTTTCGGGTGGATCGCAAAAAATCCATGGGGAAAATTCTTTTGCATGGGGGCCCATGATTGGCTGATTTCTCAAAAGATGTTAAAAAGATTATGCCTTTGACGGAAAATTCAAAGCCACTGAACGATTTTCGAGCGCCAAAATGGCACATAAATTATTTGAGAAATCGGGGCCTACGACACGCCCAGGTACATCTTGCCGACTTCGTAGGTCGAGATCATGATGGCGCAGGACGGCGCGATTTTGGCGAGGCGTGGAGCGAGTCCAGTCATTACAGCTGCGAGACCTTGGGTGGTGACGAGGCGGCGCAGCACTTGGGTCGTCGACAGTTGCATGCTTCCATCCACCTGCTGCAAGGTCTTGACAACGTCAAATGGCGTAGTGATCGTAGCTGCCACCATCCCTGCGGCAGCACCAGCGCAGAATGCTAGATGGACTGGGCGTTGGTCAAACTCCGGGCGATTGGCCAGGCGTCCCTTCAACTGCTCGTAGCACGTCCAGTATATGGCTGAAAATGGAACGTCACGAGCTAGAGTTGCCTGCAAGCCGCGTGTGAGGGAGCGCAGGCCGTGTTCGCGCACGGATCGGCGCAAGATTGACCACATGTTCTTCTCCACGCCGTTTTGCATCCGAGTACGCACGAGCTCGAGTGGGGACACAACGGTGGCCGCCACAATGCGGGCGGAACTTCCTGCGACGAGTGGCATCAGCGGCGTCAGTTCGGGAAACTGACGCGATCCTTCGCGGACGAGATGGTCGTATGATGTATAGTAGAGCACTGTGGATGGGACTGCAAGCATGAGAGTCGGGGGAAGGCCAGCAAAGAGTCCGCGGAGACCTTCCGTGCGGAACACAAACCGGAGCGCGTCGACGGTGCCATGAAGATGACGGCGTGGCACAGCACACTGCATACTCAGTTGGCGCACACAAGCCACACACAACGTTTGCGGTCGCGCCATGGCCAACATGCTGGCGGCTCCACGAGTCGCGCTTCCACACGACGGATGGCATGCCGACCAGGCCTTCGGCGGTCGATACTGCTTCGGATTGCTCTGAGATTGGAGGCGGACCTTGGCAACATCGAGAGGAGTGACGAACAAGGACGTGATCATTGCGCCCGTGGACGCGGCGAGGCTCTTCTTAATTGACAGCGCCAGCGTTGACTCGTGTGGAGCTGGTGCCATGACGATTGGAAAATGGCCGATTCGGACTTCTTCCCTGCATACCTTCCAAAAGATGGGCCAATCAACACATTCGACGGATTTGATTGGGCGGAGGGAGCAGCAATTATGACAATGAGATCGCAAAAGCAACGAGGGGCAGGCGCGGCCGCCGCCGATACGTCGGATGCTGGCTGCATGGAGGACGCGAATGCGGGATACCACGCACGCAGACGACGTTGGAGCATAGGACGGTGCTCGAGAGCGCCACGCACCTTCAAGACCGACTGTGTCGTCAGAACGGATGGACGATAGCACATTGCAGAGGTACTACCGAACAGCCCTTGAATGGCGGTGGCATGCATGAGCGACCGTGTTGAGCACTTATCGACGTGATGAAACAGCCACAGTCTAACCTTGACATCGTCTACGACCTGCCACGGCAAACGGAGCATGGTCCCCAAGGAGCAAAATCTCTCGACGGTGTGCATGAGAGGACGCGAAGCATGTATGATACGACCATCAACGTCGAATGTCGACCGCGGCGTTTTGTACAACGTCAAAGGTGCGCGAGGCGCCATGAAGGTCCTGTCTCCAGCCATTTCACGTGTCGGTAGCACAACGGTAACGGATAGCGCAACGTATTCTTGGTTCAACTGGACAAACGTCTCCACAATCATGACTTGGTAAATGAGGTCGAGTGCAAAAGGGCTATGATGGCTGTTGCGAGCGTAGTGCACGTGCGCTTCCGTTGGAGAACACCAGAGTCGACATTGCCGCCCGGCGTTTCCGTTCCTCGGAGGTGTTTCAACTGCATCGCTTGTCCACGCGACATGCCGTATCGATACGTTCTACGGCAGATTACCATGAGCACAATCGTGAGAGTCGTCTTTGACACACTCGACGACATGGCCTCCGAGAAACTCGGACCGCTCGGTTCCACACACCGACGGCGGTGGATACTGCCTGCCGTAGCCGTGGAGCTGCAGTACCGCATCCAACGCGGATCCAAATTCTCTATCTCGGGGGATGGCCACATGAAACAACGAATGCCCCGTGATTGCCCATTCACCTTGAAGCAGCGCCAACGAATGCGCCGTGAGGCCCTTGCGTGTGCCTACCTATTCGACTCAACGGCCGAGATCCCTAGCGTCGGACACGTATTGGCGCGGTGGTCGCGGATGTCCAAGAGGAGGGAGTCGAACATGGGGAAGCGCGCCGAGATCTCTTGAACGGCGTGCACCAACGTGCAGTGAACGTCAATGGTTAAATGAGTCCCGAGTGGACTACAATGCGACGCATTTCACTTCCTGTGATAGTGCGCATAAATGCCAGCGGCAAGGACCTTCTTGGGCATGTACGCGTCGACGTGACGGCTCGGTTTACATCGACAAACTTGCGGTGGAATATTGCCAGCACTATGTACGGCGGCAGTCCATTCGTCATGGTGGCCAAGGCGGACGCCATTATCTATCGCAAGAGGTCGTGAGCACGTGTGGAGGTCGCGGTGGCGAGTACGTCATGCCTGCACCTACGTGCACTGT